TTTTAATAGAAAGGGGGAAAATCTGAAAGGCTTTTTTTTCCGGTTTAAAAAAAAAAAAAAAAAAAAAAAATCTTTTTTAACAGATTAAAGCTTAGGCCAGAATCAAAACCAAGTATTCTTGTAAACATCTACTGAAATATAGCTTAAAAATAAAAGTATGAACACTTTCATTTTATTTCAGTCAAGAAATGAGAATAAAGTGATTTACCAAGATTGTTGTCCGTTAGCACTTCTTTGACCCTTTTCGTAATGCCGTACGTATCCAGCTCAGGGGACATTGCAACCAGTTCTTGAATGCTGAGTGCCGAGTGGCCCGACAGTGGCAAAGGTGTTGTAGATTGGGATTCAGAAGCAGGTGGCTCGCTAGATTCTTGGGATTTGCCATCCTTACTTGTCTCTATAGCGGGACAGGGTTGCTGTACCAATTCAGTCAGGCTTTTCACCGATTCACTGGAACTCATAGGAGATTCAGGAGCAGGACTGCAACTGGCAGAAGTCTTTGGAGTGCTTTCTGTAATTAAAAAAAGAAAAAAGTCCCCACTTTAGCATAATTGTAATGTTTTGATTGCAGGATATTTAACTTTCCTTCTCATTTATATTCTACCTACTTAAAGAAATGCCTAAGTATGCAAAATGCTACTTGTTATGACTTGGTTACTAAAAAGCCTCTTTGTAAAAACAGAATTATTTTCTAATTTTATCTTGAGTCATCTCTGCTTTCTTACAGGGACAAGATGTACAAATACAAATCAAAATTAGGAAAAAATGAAGTGCAATAGTCTATAAGGTTGCAAGAAATTTCCTTGGTCAGGAAATCTCATAGTTTTGCTTTCCACAACATTTTCATATAAGGGTGCTCTTAAATCTACCATTATAGACTGGTTTAAGCCTCCTTCTGTGACTTGTAAAAAGCTCACTTAGCCACTATTTTGTAGTGTCAATAAGGGATTTTCTATAACTGATACAACTTTATATCTTGAGAGTGTTATTGATTTCATACTGTTTCTTATCACTCGAATCACATTTTTGCACTTCTCTTTGCCCAGAAATAACTTAACAAGATTAAAATACAGTTTGCAATTATGTTGTATTACTTAATGTGTTTGAGAATGCAATGTAAAGATAGCTAGTGGATCAGGAGACATGCAAATCTGTTACTGTGAAACTTTGTTTATAAGAAAGCTTTCTGCATCTGTTAATTTGTCAACAACAATAGGTTCTGTACAAAACGTTGCTTTCCCCTAATAAACTCACGTTTATCTCTAACAGAATGTACCAACTGAGCTTATGCAGAAAATCCACACAGCTAAGGGTACAGTCTAAGCATTTTTTAAAGCAACGACACGTAGACAGTGTGGTTTAGAAGAACAATTCCCTTCGAAAGATAAAGAGCACTTTGATTTCTCCATTCACAGTTCCTTCCCATTTTTGTGGGACTGCTTCCTCCTCCTTGCTATCTCACATCTCATTACTTGACATGGTTAATCATATGTATCTCAAATTCATACATCAGTGGATTTGTCTCAACGTCTCTGGAGGAAGCCTACAACGCTCTCAGCCATACAAGGATGAGGCCAGTCTCCATGAAAAACTTAGTCCCTCTAACAGAACTGTGTTTTCCTGAGCACTGCAACTCTACTATGAGAGCAGTTCACTCTGCAGCGTCAGGTCCCGTCACTACCACAGCGATGGCTAATAGCAAATGTCACTATTTTTTAAGTTTGTTTGTTTGTTATCCAGAATCCTGTCAAATCATTATGGAACATGCAGCTTGTGTAGCACGGAAACGTATCCCAAATACTAAAGGAAAATACTACCTAAGTAAAAGTAGGGTTCAAATGAAGCAGGGTGCACAGGATAATTGTGTTGTTCAAGGTAACAGAAGCTTTCACGATGCGGCATTTACACGAGGCACCCTGACACACTTACATAAAGTTGCTCTCTCAAACCAAGCCATTGGACTTTTTCCTTAGTGTTTTATGAAAGATGCAAAAGAGGCAGACATAAAAGAAAAGCAAGGTGCATATAAATCTTTAAGGCAATAGGGATCCTACAAATCTTATTTTGTTTCTCTGTTCACCCTAGGTCATCATACAACTGAATATAAAACCCAGCAAATGTTATTTTTGTATCAGGTGCAGCAAAGGAATTGTACTGTAAATTTGCCCTGATTCACCCATGCGAGGGACCAATTTGGCAGATCATCCATCTTGTTCACTGTACACTGTCAGGGATGGCATGAATTCCCTACATGATAAACAGATTTCTTCTCAGGTCTGTGTCCTTTAACCTACAGCAAGGTCAAAATTATGGCTGCCTAGCTAATAAACTGCACGGCACTCGTTCAAGTTCCCTCTAATTTTGTCCCTTGTGCCAGCTTATACAAATCTTACTGAATAACTAGAGCAGCTGCAAATTTCCTATACAATTCCTCATCCGTGCACTGCAAACCACATGCGCACACGGAGTGCAGAAAAAATCCAAAATAAAAAAAAACCCAACCACACAGGACTAAACAAAAGCATTTACTAACGCTTCTTTCTCCCTCTCCTTTCCCTGCCCAGCCTAATTATGTAAACAACAAAGGTAATCTATATTATCATCTATCACTGAAATGCTCTATGTTGCTCACATATTAGCTTATTTATTTTTTATACCACATATCAAGACCTTACTTGAATTTCATTTTTAAGACCAATCTGCTGCTTATTTACTCAAAAAGGTAGGATTATCTGAATCTAATTTTGGCAGGCAGTACAGATGACAAACTGCTTTCCCCCCCCCCCCACCAAAAGGACAGCGTGCAGGGATTTCAGCAGAGGCATTACGCACA